GGGGGGGGGGGGGGGGGGGCGGCGAGAAGAGTGTGTCAGACAGGATGATGGCGGCGATCTCGGCGGCCGACGACAGGACAATGCATGGTGGGCGGCACGAACCCAGGCACACGGTTAGGGAGAAGGGACCGGGGCGCGTCTTCAGGGTGTTGACGATTTGCCCGAGCGAGTCGACGTCGCAGCCACAGCCTACAGCCAAGGGAAAAGGTCAGATGAAGAGTGAAAGGTGGGCGGCAATCTGGCGCAAGAGGAGGGGGGGATCTCACGGTAAAGGGTCAACGCATTGATGCTGCTGTTGGAGGGGAGGGCCTCGGCGATGGCTTGGGTGGTAAAGCGGCCAACATTCACTCCTGAGGTGGTGGCGATGGCAATGGCACAGGTTGGTGAGGAAGGAAAAAAGGGGGAAAGTGTGGAGACGCGCATCGTGTGCAGACGGGCGTATTGTGCAAGTGTGTGTGTGTGTGTGTGTATGGACTGCTCAGGTCCGAGAACTTACTGACTAGCTCCAGGCTACGAAGCTGGCGATTGGCAAGAAGCCTGTGATAGAAGGTGAGGGCCATTTCATAATACACTGAGGCGGGGAGGCGGAAAGAGGAAGGGTAAGTGCTCGCACGGGGAAGAGAGAAGACAGGCGCGGGAAGCGAGGGCTGGGATGAGGCAAAGGGGTCAAGAAAAAAAGGCAGCATACCGCTATTCGCGCTGGGAATTGCCCCGAACATGGTGGCAACTTGGTGCAACTGAGCGTCTGACCCGAAGTCCACGTCTGTCGGTCGGCCACGGCGGTGTTCAAGAAGAGAGGGAGATGAAGAGGGGGAGACACAGGAGAGAGGAGGAGAGAGAGAGAGAGAGATGGGTGGGTAAGCGAGAGGAAGGTGGGGGAATCAGCCACATGCCGCGCGTGGTCTTCGGGCGGGAAGGCGGACGAACCGGAAATGTGAAGCTCCTCCAGGGGACTGAGCGAGGCAATCAGCTTCAAGATCTCAGATAAACAAGGGCTCGGAAGGAGAGTGGGGACTGGAGGGCCAGGAGGCGGCGTGTTGCTGTTGATGGTCCAGAAGGGTGGGGTGATGACCTCGCCCTTGAGGATGTTTGGGTAGCTAGTGCGTAGTTGCCCTGGGTCGAGAGAAGGAAAGGGAGTGGAGAGGAGGGAGGGGGGCGAGGGAGGAGAGGGAGGAGAGTGTGGTTAGGCTCAGGAGGGGCTGAGCTGCCGGGGAGGGGAGGGAGAGGGGGGGAGGGGGCACAATGCGGGAGAAAGAGGAGACGAATGTGCAGCACAAGATGGCGCGGACCGAGAATGCGAATGGATTTCGGCTTGGACAGAGCACGCGAGTAGGCAATGGCGAGACTGTTGACCTCGAACAGGAAATCTGATGAAGCATTTGGTCAGCTCGTGCAGTGCAGAAGAAATGGCAAGTTGGGGAACCAGAGGAGGGAGGTCGAACGGGGAAAGGGTGACGGCCGTGATCACAGGGCGCCGGGCTCGGCCAAACGCACTGGGGAGATTGGCGAGGCGAATGACCACCTCCTCTTTCTCGCCGGGGAGGCCCGAGGTGGACCGGAGCATGAACGACTGAAATTGCAGGGCGGAAACCACCAACCGGTTGACGGGCTGCTGTGGCCGAGGTCGGTTACCGCCGGGAGCCGCGTGGGACGGCTGCATTGTCTGCAAAGGGGAGGGAGGCCAAAAAAAAAGCAGGGAGGTTTTGAGACTGGGAGG